CAGTAAATATGCATTGCAAACACAAAAATTTTAAATCAAATAAATGTTTGCATATTGTTCAATGTTTGGATTACGTGTGAATACGATGTTTGGATAACAGTAATTTTTATTTGGTAGGTACACTGTGGTAAAATCGTTAGATTTAACAAATGTGCTTGAAAATTTAACTAGTAAAAAAGAGTCTTACTCTGTAGTAAAAAAAAAAAAAAAAAATTTTACAGGTCATCAACTTGTAGGACTGTTTATTCGACCTATATTAAATTTTCAAACCAATCAAGTAAATCTATAAATTCGTTGGGTAAATTTGTTGACAATAAAATAAATAGTGCATGTTCAAAAACGCATAAATCATAGTTCTCGGATAGAAAAAAAAATAATAGAAAAACACTAAACATATTAAATGAATAATTCCCTTCATACGCTCCGAATTAAAAATGGAAAAAAAAACTGTTAGGAAGTTATGTATTTTGTGAATAAATTTGTGTCAATTTTATCTAAATAATCTAAAGTAATTAAAATAAAATACCCAGATCCTAATTCACTGTGAATTAATATATACAATATATCTGTATAAAAAATTCTAATATTAATAAAACTTTATGGGTTGTCCAGTTTTCGATAACTTATGAAAAATAAAATTATCATTTATTTCAGGATTATAAATATATACCAATCTAACGTATTATTAAATACATATGTATAATGAGATCCTAATCGGAGAGATCTGAGAGAAATTTAGCAGATAATTTTTTTTTGATACATTTTAACTTGAAATTATTATTTTACGTGGCATCTTAAAAATACAAAACTATATCCCGTAGCCTTCATTTAAAATTCTTAAGTATTTTTCGGAAGTCTATGAAATCATGTCCACATTAACTAGAAAACAAAACCCAAATTACTCGGAATATTGCATTTTTATAAAATTCCGGACTTAATATGGATATGATACATTTATGATTACATACATTTTAAAAAATTATGTAAAGAGGTCACATATTATACTGCGTAGGATGTATTCTAAATACATTGTACATTATTTAAACAAGTACTACCGGATGTGAGCCCCGATAACAAATTGCAATACCTATTTGATAATAAATAGTAGTTAACTACTAGGTTTATTAAGAGTCTTACACTGTGGAAAGAATAATGAGTTTAATGTAGAATTATTTTTTGTAAGAGAATTTTAATATCAATCTTTGACGAAAATCGTCTGAGTAAAAAAATATATGGACCAAATCTGATTTTAAAATTTTTTTTTTTTTTTTAATGTATGGATGTCATTGATTTAATTTCAACGGTGAACTCAGAATTGAGCGGACTCTCTTAGTTTCATAAAAATAGCTTTTTAGTGTTTTAATATTATGTTACGATTAAAATTCTGTATTGTCCTAAATGATATTTGTCGTGATCAAATGGTTATACATGCCTATTATTATTCTAGGAGGGATCCCGAGTTCAAACCTGTGTTTTATACAAAATTGTTTGCATTTTATTCCTCCTTCACCAAAACAAATGCATTTCGGGTGTACCTAGAAACTCAAAATTTTTTAATTGCAAAATACCCCTAGATTTATTGTACAAACTTTTTTACCAGCAATCTTGTTCCGATGTTCACGTTAAAATGAAAATATTTTAGTAAAATATAACACATAACTCATAGATTAATACTTAGTTGACGACATAGATTAAACAGTATAATAATATAAAAGATTTTAATTACCGTCTTATACAGAAATATATAAAAAAAAAAAGATGTACATATTTTTGTGATATTTTAACTTTAAAAATATCAAAATTATATTCCAATATGTCATAGACAATAAAGTAACAATTATTTTAAAGCATTATAAGATATTCCCCTAATAAATTTTTTACAATGTCATTTGTATCGTACCTATTGGTTATTTGAAAAAAACTCATGTGGATCAGAAATTTTTTAACATTTCATGTCACGAAAAATACCTCCGGGTGGATTTTTCGTGAAGAATTTATTAAAATCCAAAATTTTAGGTTTCTTTTCATTAAATAATATATTCACTTAATTCGATCCATTATTGCTTTTCTTACGGTCTTAATCAATATAAGTTCAGATTTATTTAAAATTTCCGGAAAATACTGTACAGTTTTTAAACTTGTATGACTGTTTATTCGACCTATATTAAATTTTCAAACCAATCAAGTAAATCTATAAATGCGTTAAATGAATTTGTTGACAATAATAAAATTTAGTCCAAGAATATTAAGAAGAATATTTGAGCCAAAAATAAATAACACGACACGACAATATGAGAAAAAAAATAATATAGAAATACAACAATTATATAAAGAGCCACAAATAGTAGCAGTATTGAAATATAGGAGAATGGCATGGGCCGAACATGTATGGAGGTCAAATGGTCTTAAGAAAGAGGTTTTCGAATGGAAACCCTAGGGGAGACAAGACCACTTGGCAGGCCGAAACAATGGTGGATTGACAAGGTGAAGAAGAATTTAGCAGAGATTGGAATACGAGATGTAGAAACAATAGCACAGGAGAGAGACAAATGGAAGCAAGTTTGTGTTGCGGTAATGGGACTCAATGGCCTTTAAAAAAACTGATGAAGAAGATGAAGATTGGTAATACTTTAAGAATTGTCCCATTTTCTATTACTAATGGGAAATAAAATTATCGTACTATACCAAGAATATAAATATATACCTATCTAACGTATCAGTAAAGCTATGCATAGTTAAATCCTAATCTACGAAATCTGAGCGAAATTAAGTAAATCATTTTTTTGATACCTTTTAATTTAAAATTATTTCCCTGGGCATCATTAAAATATATTTCTATATCTCGTAACCTTAATTTAAAATTGTTTAATATTTTTTGGAAGTCTTGTCACTCATAAATAAGTAATCGAAACCCAAAATAATCGGAATATTACGTTTTTATAA